TTATAACCTTCTGATATTGCTTCCTCAACTTTCATAAAATCATATCAGAAGCAGGTAATAATAATAATGTAGCTTTGTACTATTTAGCATGACACTGATCGGTAACCAGTGCAACTTGAATTTAAATCCAATGACTACATTGTAGTGTGTGTCAGTCACAAAAGCAGCTATTACTTTCTTCTATTCCAAATAAGTAGTACGTGTGGTGCCTTTCTGAAATCTGTATTCAATTAGCAATCTTTTTATTCAATAGAATGCAGTTATAGCCCAGTACATTTTTGTTTCACCGCAGATGGTCGGAGTTGAGGAAAAAATATCAGAAGGTTATAAATCCCAAAATAGTCTTTATTTGATCATGGTTCCTTAATATCTTTTAACTGCATTGCATCTGTATGTGATAAAGCAACTATCTAGAAATATTTTATAGAAAAAATGAACAAAGTATAACCTTATGTGTACATGCTGTTAAAGACTACCGATGAAAAGGTTCGTTTTTTAAAATTTAAGAAAAAATTCAATATCTCAAAAACGGTGACACTTTTATATAGGTAAGTTTTTGTTATTTGGAAGGTCCGTCCAAAGTCTACCTTCTCCTTAAGTTTGTCGAGGTACTTATTGTATGTGGTGGATGGTATGAAAAATCTTTGTGGATTGTTTTGAGTACTGTTCCATTTGTGACCAGATATTCGATATTTACTTATTGTTAATAGTTACTATAACTATAAGACGTGCAGTTATTGGATTCGTAGATATTTGTAAATTTCTAATAAATTCCATTTTTTTTTCTATGAAACTGCATATTTTGTCAGTCCTATGTTACTTTCGTCAGTACCTTTGCGGTCAATTTCAGAAAAATCCAAATATCTCAAAATCAACTCATAAAAGGGGCAGGCACTGTTTGTAACAATATATTCATTAGATTATCTCATCATCGTGGTGATGGGTCATCTATCGAAACAGAATACATGGCCTTTAGGACAATCGGAATCCAGAGCTCCCTGCTGTTCGGGTGCCACCTATGCAAAATGTAACTCTAGTCGGGCATAGTAGTACCTAATCTCTGTTATAACTGAAAATTAGTACTTTGGTGGTTTCGTAACCTGTCATGTTCATACCTATAGTCCTCTTCTACACTTATCATCAACCAGGTGGAATTTGCTATCACAAGCAAAATGTTACGCTAGTCTACCATAGATGTACCTAATGTCTATATGTATTAATGCAAAATGGTACTTCGGCGGCTTCCTAACCTCTCATGTGCATCCTTACAACCCTGTTTCATGGTTATTACAAACCAGGTGGAATTTGCTACCACAAGCAAAATGTAACGGTAACCTCGGGTACCTATCCTATCTGATAATAAGGAAAAAATCTACCTCTAGCGATTTCCTAACCTGCCTGCCATGTTCAAACTTATAGTTCTGTTCCATACTTTGTCGCGACGTTGTCCCAAACGTTTTCAGTGTTGTTATTTGCCGTCAGATCTTAGCCATCACAGGCTAAGTACAAGTTACCATCACAAGCAACGGAGTTCAATGTTTCAGCGTTTCCCAAACGTCTTTGTTCTCCTTGGTATGGAGTTGGCTAGCACAAGCTAGGTCCAGGTTGCTATCCCAAGCAACATATCCAGTGTCAGAACGTTATCCCAAACATCGTGTCAGGCATCTACACTAACATTCACCTAACTTCATAAGCTTGCTCCTAAAACAGATTGGTTAGTCGACAATTACCTAATGCTGAAGCCCTTTCAGAAAAAGAGGCCTGCCCGCCACTTTCTTATTCTGCTCCGCGATGAAAGGCACCTTGAAGGTGACCTTCCGTCGGCGTCTCGCCTACAAAGGCCATCTATCGGCCACCTTCACTCCAGTTGTCAAGTATTTATGTTCAGCGATTCCTGTAAGAGCAGTTCCTTTGTCGTTTCTTACGTTTAGGCACCTCGACACTACTAAAAACGTAAAAATCCATGCGCGAACCCGATTGCCGTGTTAACAATTTGGTACGCGAACAAGGAATGAGAGTTCGTAGGCCAGGGGCCGGAGAGGATGAAGGTGGGAGGGCGCGGTGAGCCGCTTTTCTTCGCTGCATGCGCACCTTGAACTCTTGGGTTTGGTCTAAAGCGGTATACTACATATTTATTCTATTTACGATACTAGGCCGGAACAGAATACCGGATTATACACAGTTTACATATTCTTCACAATCGGCAGACGGTCTACTATCTGGATCGAACCAGATACTGCTTGCCTGCCGCGCGCCGTTGATTTCGCTTAGAAGGATCGGTGGTTCATTATTTCGAATTGTGAGCACACTATTCGTCGGATATTTATCTTAATAATAGAAAGTTTTCACTGATACCAAAGATGCAACATGTATAGCCGTCCATCCCATACAACTCACAACCTGCAATTTTCAGGAGTCTTTAAAACATCTTAAAACGATTTTTGAGTTTGTTTCGTTTTTTTCCGTAACTCTGCCATCAGTGGATTGATTTTCAAAAACTGTTCTTCGTCCTTGGCATAGTAACAACCTTGGGTGAAAATTTCATCAAAATTCGTGCTTTTCAAGTTATAGACTGACCAAAGATTAGCGCACAGACAGAGACCGACAGAAATAAGTAACATGGGAGTAAAAGCATGATACGTTATTTCCGTTTTTTTTGCGATTACAATATTTCCTCGCCGATTGGTGTGAGAAAAGGTACATTTTGGAAAAATCAGACGTTTTTCTCCATTTTACATCCAATTGTGCTTCTACCTCCATAGATTTATGATAAGGGGCCACTAAATAGGTACGAGAAACATAGCAAAGAAGTTAATTTTAACTGGCAGCAGTCGTCTTTCAATTTTTCCGCCCACTTATTAGGCGACTTGAAAAAGTGGTACTATTTTTGAACGCACTCTGGCTGCAACTAATAAATACTCAAACAGAACAAAAATATCCAACCAAAGCATCCGATAGGTCTGCCTGATAATTAATTAAGGAGGTTTCAAGAAAACAAGCTAATCATATCAAGCTATCAGTTTCACTTCCTATAATTAGACAGAGAAATGTTTCTTCCGTTGGTAGACAATAATTTAAGAAGTAGATATTTAAAGGCAGGAAGCTCAACCAAAGGCACAAATAAATCTCGGTAATATAAAATACTGTAGCGTTTTTCTGGGTTCTTTTGGATGTGAATTAAAACACTCGATTCCTCAAAAGGAAATGCACTAATTTATTTACAACACAACACAACCAACTTTAATTTAACTAGATAGAACATTTATGTACACCATTATTTATTTCTGACAATTATTTACGAATGAAATTGGCGCGCTATTCAATTTTAACTCCCCCCTCCGCCCCAGTCGTCAGCTTATATATGCCGCATCGCAGGGACTCGTTAATTCGAGAATGTTCCTGTACGCCACATAGCGGCCACTCCAGAACCTTCGGGGTCAGTCTCGCATCTTGCTTTGATGCCGAATGAAAGTCCCTGGCAAGATTCCCAACAGATGGCGCTAGTAGAACCACTCGGGGTAAGTCTCGCACCTCGCTTCGATGCCCAAGGAGAGTCCCTGGCGCGCTTCCCAACAGATGGCCCTAGTAGTACCATTCATTCTTGTTCAATACACAGTTAGAGGGAATAGTTTGAAAAAATATACTTGTGCAATGACGGTCAGCTACGCAGCTGGCAAGGCAAATTATGTTTTTAATTTTCAGGCTATGAAGCACAAAGGCGTCAAAGACAGGGGAGGTTATTATCACTCACATCCTCCTTACCACCATCATTACGACAATGAAGGTGGTCAATCGGACAAAAAAGGTAAGGGAAGGATTGAATTGATAATTTCAAAAACAACTTAAATCATATTTCTCCAACTTGCTTTTTTGCTGAAATCGCTTTCATAAAGTACTCGTAGATGCATATTGTATGTATACCTCGCAAAATCAATGCATACCTCGCTCAAATAATACCGCGTAATTGACGTTCATCGAATAAACAACATAAGTCAGTAAATGCAATATCTTATCGTGTGCTCACTAATAAATCTCATTGATATCCTACTGACCGCTAAATAAAACCACAGGCGATGAAGTGAAAGTTCACTAACATTTCGGCCACCTCGGTGGCCTTCTTCAACGTACAATATATTGTCATTATTTTGAATTGAATCGGTCATTTTTAGTAATTCCAAAAAGCACTTAAGTCATAATTATATCAAGATGCCTTTTTTGTTGATGTTTGAACGCAATTTTCAATAATGAGCAGTTCAATATTTTTAGACCGTTTTGTTTAAGTTATAAAGTACTTTTCAAAAAGGTACCTTCCTCAAATTTATTTTCCGATCGGGTCAAGTTGATATGCTGAAATTTGGGCATGAATACTATATTTTTCCACGGAGCCTACATACCAGGAGAACCGGCGAATTGAGCAAGTGAGTACAAGTTACTGTGCATGCGCAGAGCATCTGACTTTATAGTACGACATGGACAGGGGTATTATGTAAAAAACGTCAAAAAAACGACGAAATGTCATCTTGCAGGCTAGGTAGGTTTTAGTCTCAGACTAAAAATATAAATAGACAAATAATTCCCTACAAAATATCGTCGTCAACATAACTGTATCTACGGTAAACAAATATATGCGACACTGCCACTTCTCCATACTGAAAAATCTATTGAAAATGGAATGAGATATTGGTGTACACTCCGCCCGAAATGAAGGTGGAATTAAATAAGGTGTGGACGCTCCGGTCGATCGTGGGTCGATCAAACAACTGCTCCTAGGCAGTTGTCAACGTCATTTTAAATTTTAAAAATTTATTTTTTCTTTTCATATTTGTTTATACTCGCAAAAACGGTCACAGAGGTGGCCGACACGCCGTAAATTCAAATCAAAACCGATGCAGGTTCATGTTGGGTAATTCACAGCGAACATTACATATAATATTTTGCCCAGTCAGTTGTTTGACTGGATTTGTTCCACCTTGGACGAAACTTGCTCTCATTCGAAAGTAGCACATTTATACCGACTTTTTGCCGAACGTGGCAACGGTGTTCAACGGCAAGTGGTGGATGCGTACACAGAATTTACAAACATCTGGTGTTTGTTGTTGTGCACAGTGAATTTGTTGCGAGTATTCAAAAGTGTTTTCAGATTGTTTTAGCGGCAATTATAGCATTGTTATCATTGATAGACAATTTTCAAGGCCAATGGGACGTCGGAAGTGCATTCTTTGTGGAGTTAGCAGTGAAAAAACTGAGGCAACCTTCCACAGGTGAGTTAGAGGTTAGAGGAGGACAAGGGCGTAGCGCATGGGGATGCGTTGTGATTTTTAGTATTAAGAAATAGACATTTTATAGTTATTGGTTGTTTTTACACTGTATGTGTGGTGATTTTCAAAAAATACTCTTCTGTTAGACACGTTTTTGATCTTTCAGGTTTCCTAGTGATAAGAAAAAACAAGAAGAATGGTGCACTATCCTCAATATTGACATAAATGATCTACCACTTCATGCCTTTATTTGCGCAAATCATTTTCACAAAAGTGATTTAATAGAAGGCAAAAGAACTCGACTAAAGCATTCAGCAGTTCCATCAGTAGAGCCTTTTAGGCAAACAGAGTAAGTCCTTAATTATATTTAGCTATTGGATGAAATGGAATATTTTGTTGCTATACTTTTACTTATCTATTTTAAAGTGATTCCAGTGATGAGGAGAATGAAATCAATCTTGCCCAGGAAATTGCCCTAAGCCATTCAAATAGTAAACAACTGGAAAGCAGGGATCTACCTAGGTATGAAATTTGTTTTTCAGATGTTTTACATCCATATCTGGATCAGCATATATCTATACAAGAACTTTTTGACGCGCTAAATGGCTAAAATGGCTATCAGAGTCTACAGAGTACGCTAAATCCCCAAGTATACCGTTATGTATAAAACGATTTATAATCCAACTTAAGCTCCACAATAAATGTAGTCTCAAGATCTTCCTAAACAATATTTCATACAGGGTTGACCAAACAGACTATTGTACAATATGTAATACTCGAAAGACCGAATCTTTAGGACATCTCCTCCTAGAATGTCCATTATACAATCCATTGAGAGAGCATATTCTGTCAGATCGTTTGAACCAAATCTGTGTCTTTGCTTGCCTAAATAAAACGAATGAGTTGAATTTATGATACAAACTTTTTAAATACTTTAGGGAACTATTTAAGCTAAGATCTTTCTTAAGGAATGAATAGTTTTTTTGTGCCTTCAATATCAAGACAGAATATTTAAATTGATGCGTCAATTATTTATTCTTTTTCTGTTTGTTTATATATTTTTTATATACAACTTTTGATCATGGTTACTATCATTTTCTTACTATTTTTTTCTTGTATTCATAGTCTGGACAGGAAATTTTCTACTCAATTCTTATTATTTACATAATACTCTCTCTCTTGTTTATATACCTTTGTACTAGGTATTATGAAACAATAAACCTGATAATTAAGTTCCAATAATAAAACCTTGTTTACTTCTCTGTGTTTATTCTTTTCACTGCCATGGAAGGTGATACTGGTGTTTAGTATTTATTTCCACATTCCAGCTTTGCTTGTTTTTTGAATGTGTTCGCTTCATGCATTAACGGCCGTAAGTATGGTAAGTCATTTATATTTAGTCCGGTTTTAGTATTTCATTCCACATTTGCTTGCTATGTATAATCGCTGTTCGCTGACGTTTAAGCAACACGTATAGCCACAAAACGAGTTTTACAACAAGTGTACAACAGCTTGTGCTAAGTTAACATCTTGTAGAAAAACCTACGTTATGTGACAAAGTACCTGCGAAATGTCAAAAACAACAACGAAATGACATGTTTCAAGATATATAATACCCAAATGGGTGATTTAGTCTTTTGTTTACATTTCGTGGGTTTTTTGTGACATAACGTAGGTTTTTCTGCAGGATGTTAACTTAGCACAAGCTGTTGTACACTTGTTGTGGAACGTGGAATAAACTATATGCACACGCTTGAATCTGCAGGTTACTCTTGCCAGCCATCCCTACTGTAATCTATTGTGTTATTTATCATTGGTAAAAATAAAGATTTATAAAAAGGTACTTGTAGGTTCAAGCTGCCGGAACTTGGAATATTATAAAGATATCCATCTGGTGGATCCGTCAAAACACGGCATTGCTAAATGTACCGAACACAATTTCCCCAGAACAAGTACAAAAATTCCTCAGACTTGCTGCTTTTTCATAAAAATCCCCCAAATCACAGTTAATTAATGGAAAGGGGTGTGTTTGGTTCAAAATGCGGTGATTTCCCCCAGAACATTCCCAAGTAAAATCTCCCAAATTTCAGGGAGAATCCCCCAACGTAGCAACCCTGTCAACCTGGTACTTCGGGCGTCAAGTTTCGGGGTCGTTTTTACAGCACGAACACCATTGCCGTAGTTTCTACTGGTATATAGGCTCCATGGTTTTAACGTAGAAATGACAATTGAAAATTCCAAAATTGCGGTTAGACGCCATCTTAAACCATTTTTCGAATGGAATGAGATGTCGTTAATGCCTCATTTTGAAGCTCTTTACGGGTGTTCATAACCCTCAGCATGAAATCACCAGCTTTCAAAATGGCGGACTGGCGCATGTTCGAAGTTGAGCGTTTTTAGTACATTGAATTGCTGCATCAAACTTTTTCATTGAAAAGCCCTTTTAAGATATACTAAAATATGCAGGATATCCTTTTTTTAAATGTACGATTGTGTTAGCATGTAGTTATAAAGCACACTATAGATAGCGGTATACTTCCAAGCAAAAAGCGTATATTTCCTATATTTTTTGTAAATAACTTTTTTGGATATATTTAATAATAACGGAACAATCGACCGACCCCACAAAAAAAAACTGACCATAAATGTTGGTTTACTATGAACTCTTTAATATCGACCACTGCAACGAAGACTATAGTAACTCAAAAATCCTTGCTTTTGACTTACTATATGGTATCGATAGACTTTATCGGGTTCTCTTTGGTGGAAGAATATGGTATCTCAGTCATGCAACTATAGGCAACCAGTAAATCTTCTACGTCATATAGTAAGTATAATAGCGGCGGTTGCTCCCGCGAAAACTACATCAAATTGAGTACACCTCTACTGTCTGACTTACTATGATTTTCGCGGCATAGTTTGAGGTTACGGCAATTTTACTTTTCATTGTTTCATCTCCAAGTCTGGACCTAACCTATGTCGTCCTGATGAGGGCTGAAGAGCCCTGTCTGTGGTTGGTCGTGGATCCATTAGTTTTAAATAAAAGGCAAAATCGGATAATTGGAACAAAGACGATTGCGGAGAAAAGTTGAAAATAAATAAGTGCCTCGTGAAATGAAATATAAGTGTGACTATGCTGACGATCTCACGATAGTAACATTGATTATCACAGAATGAGACCGCAAAAACATAAGCCTGCTTCCATCAGTAGATGCTACAAAATTAAATGGTTTATTAGACCTATGTAAATCAAAAGCAAATAGTCTCCTAGCATTCCTGAGGCTAACCTGCTTTTCATTTTTCTCTAAAAGCCAAGGAAGATCAAAAAATACAAAGAGGACGTAATATTAACAGTGCTGAAAATACAGAAGTTGAGAACGATGATAGTGGAGAACACGAAGATGAATATAATTTGAGCGACTCAGATTGGCATTAAAAGGTTTTTTTTGAACATTGGTTTGAAAAATACTGTAATATTTTAATAAATATCCTACTAAGTCTAGAGCAAGTGTACTTTTTTCTTTAATTGATCCAACGAAAACTATAGTAAGTCAACAAAATTTATAAAAAAAAATGTCATTTTCGCTGGGTTTGTATTGTAATATCATTTGTAACCTTCTACCTGTATATACAAGAATTACTGCAACATATTTTTGATGAGATCATCATTTTTCTGACAACGAAATTCAACAGAAAATCTCCTAATGCCTGTATCTCAGTTCAACCAAAACTGAGTTCCTTGCAGGGGTCGATATGAGAAATATAAAAATCATAGAAATGTTTGAGAATAAATTAAAAGCAATGCACCAATAAAGTCAGCCAAAGTTGATTCAATACAATCCTGCTGAACTATTTCCTTCGTAGGTATTCAAAGCTTCTTCCAGCTATCGATCACAGCTCTTTCATTTCTCGCATTTGGGGGATACCTCTTATGCCTGCTTGTGTATGCAGTAAGAGGAAAGGCCAACTACTACAACTACAACCCGAACACCATGACTCAAATGATGGCCACATATTTGGTAGCCAAACTGAAAAAACGAAAAAATATCCGCAGGGTTCCGAATAGAAGAAGACCTAATACAATAAGGCTGCCACAGAAAATCAAAAAGAAGAAACTCAATCCACAACATAAGAGGAAACAACAGTACTACAGGCCAAAGAGGGATGTTGTCTTAAACATGATGTTGAATAATGAGGATATGTACGTTGCATTAGTGCAGCTTTCAGAAGGTTACACTAAATATCATACAATTGATTATGTTCATTATAACAAAACACATTTTAAGTAAAACTTATTTCTCCATGTTTGTACATTCTTTAATAAAATTAATTTATTGAGTCTACAGAAACCGATTTAATAGCTGAGGTACACGTTAATTACGCAATAACTCTTGCTTCGTTCATATCGCAAACAAATTTAGAAAGAATGCAAGCTGTATCGTTTTGGCAGCTGCACGCCTACAGTACCGAACTAAATGCAGCATCAAGAATGATTGCTGGGCAAATTAAAAAAAAACAACAGAAATGAACTCTATCGAAAAGACATATTCTGCTGAGATGATATATCATCGGTGGCTGAAATGCTGCCTTCCATTTGGGTTCGGTCACCCATTCTATGCCTGTAGCATGTACCCACACAAAGTAAGTCGCGTAGCTTTTGTATGTACAGGGCGATTCACGCTGTCAAGGCTGCGTGCGTGGCTGCAAAACAAATGAGGGAAGTGGCGTACCGATGTCCCAAAGCTCTGCAATGATGCAAGTCTTGGTATTCCAATAAATTGGGGATTCGTTTGTTTCATGGAGGAGCTCTCGTGATGTCATTGACGAAAGATATCCATCCAACATTTATCCATGGTTCATGAGTGTGCACTGTTAAAGAAGAGATATGACAAATTTGATGTTTAGTTTTAGCTAGGAAATATGCAAAATAATTTGTTACACATTTCCCTGCCGTTTCATGCTACACAAAGTCTCCAAGGAGTATGGAATAATTCAGGTTTTAACAATATAACATAAAGTTACTATTATTTCAAAGACGAAAAAGTAACAAAGTAATTCCTAGCAAATGTAAATGCATGTGTCATTTGTTAAGCGAATACATGATTGTATAAGTATCTTTCCCTCCCTTTATTTCTCTTTATCTAATAATTAAAACCACAGCTGAGGAGATTTACATTTGAAATCTTCCCACCACGGATTTATCGAAAACCACTGATTAAAAGAAAAAACGCCCAGACACGTCAAAAGATTTGTTAAGGGGACAACTTTTTAACCAAACACTACTTCACCCCTTTTCACACTCTGCCCGCAAGGATCATCCCTTTAAACATTTTAAATGGTAAGGGGTATCGAGCAACTAGCTTTTAAATACAATTAGAAAAAACAGAATTTATCTTAATTTGTTCCTGATGGACATTTTCAAAAACATGTTGTGGAATATCGTGACAGTTTCCAACATATCCAAATAAATCTCTCCATTCAAATGTCTATTAATAAACAATGGCCCAAACACCATGTTTCCTAAAATGCCTGCTCATACATTATTTTTTTCCGAGTACTGGGTATGCCTTTCTATAAAAGCATGAGAATTTTCACTGCTTCAATCCCTGCAGTTATGCTTATTAACAAATCCATTTAGATAAAATGTGCATTCATCACTGAAGTAGGTATTCTTTACATAAATAGTATTATCATTAATCGCTGCAGTCATTTGTTCACAAAACTCAACTCGCCTATCGAAATCATCTTCGGATAACTCTTGCAATATTTTCATACCGCAGCAATGATTTTGCGTAATGAAGGATTAGGATTTATTCTAAAATGACCCAAAACTTCGACTTGAGCGGTTTCATTCAAAACTCTCCGATGATCACGTTTTTTATTTGTAACAGATCCAATGAATTTAATAACAAGGTCCAAAACATACCTATGCGAAATTATCTTCCTCGGATGTCTGGCGTTAAACGCCGAGCACATTGATTTTGGGCACCATAAATTAGAATCATTTCCACTCTTTCGGCTATTGTGTAAACCATTTTGGAAGTCAGATCTGAATCAATAAATTAACTTTCACTATCCAAGTACTGTCACAACAGCAACAAATAACAGGTATAACAATAAATACAGTTCGCCCAGGATATCTGTGTTGATGAAAAGAACGTGGAAAAAAATCGGGTTGTTATTTGGTTGTTGCCACGTCTAATCTTCTAAATTGCTGTTTATGTTGGTAGTTTCCGTTTGAAATTATATATATTGTAGATTTGGCAAACCCTAACGGGCAACATTTTGAGCACTTACTTTTTGTTTTCTATCTGAACAAATTAAGATATACAAAGATTTTTCTAATTTTCTCGAAAACGAATCGTCTGATTTAAAAAATCAAACTTCAAAATAAAGGACTTTGAAAGACATTTCTATTACTCGATACGCCTTGTCATTTAATTTTTTTAAGGGAATGACCCTGGGGGGCCGAGGGTGAAAGGGGATGAAGTAGTTTGTGGTTAAAAAGTGGCCCCCCTTGAAAAATCTGTTGACGTGTCTCGGCGTTTTTTCAAATGGACAGCCTGTATAAGGTATCGTTGTAGCCAACTTTAAAACAAATAAAAAAATATTTATATTTTATAGGAGTTTGGATTAATTTTTTTCATATTATCTTCTATTCTTTATTTCAGTGTTTTTCACTTAACGACAAATAAGGAAATGAAAAAATAAAGAGTTTTGTTTAGTTTCAGTATATTGCAAATTTTGACAAAATCAGACAATTCGCAACCCTTAAGAAATCCAAACATGAAAGATTTTTTCACTACTTACTCTTCCATTATAACTGTATTTTCCAACCGTTCATCCATTCCACAACACAGTAATCCTGCATGTATTCAGTAAAACTAAATTCCAATTAAATTGAAAGTAAGAGATTTCAGTCAAATACTTGACACTAACTCACAATGCAATAATCCAACACCTAGCTATTATATAAAAAAAAAACGCGGATAATGTAACATCTGAAACTTATCCTATGGTTTACAGGTCAATAATCCTCCATGCTTGTCTGGCCAATAAAAATCACATGTAGTTGAAATTTTTCTTTAATATAAACGCTTCAATCATAAACGTGATCTTCAATGACGTATTTGACAGATTGGTCAAATATGTGTCATTGTACTGAAGAAGGTCACCTTCATGATTGAAACGTTTACATTAAAGAAGAATTTCAAATACATGTTTATTGGCCAGACAAGCATGAGGGATTGAAAAACACGGACTTATACATCATACACAAGTCTCTGTCTCTGACCTGTTCTGTAACTTATTCAAGCTTTCCAACGATATTAGAAATATTATCTAATAATGCGGAAGTTTCCTATTTATTACACGCCCGAAATGAAAATGTAAATAAAGTGAAGTACGACAATGAAAAATGTTTTTAATATCTTGAAAAATGCCAAAGTTACGCTACCCAGAAGTTTCGTATTTTGGAGAATTTACATGCTGGAGAGTGTGGTAAGTGATAACGTCACTTGAAAACTTCAAATAAATGTGCATTCTGTTCTTACACTGCTATTTATTTCCCTTCATTACTTCAAAATAAGCGCAAACGGCTTGACAATACCGCCCGAAAGTAGGTCACCCACATTACTAGGGGTACATTGAGGTATAAAAAAACCCGAAAACATTATTCTTCTCATTATCAGTTTCAAAAAAGCGCTCGATTTTCCAAAAGTAGGCAAACACTAGCTTTCCGACATTTTTAAAATCAATACCACGGGAATAACAAAAATCATCAAAGATTGCAATCGAATCTTATAGGAGATTTATTCCACTTTTCGCAAATACCCCTTCGTTTTCTGTGCGATCACTGGTTACCAAGATATCAGTGGTCGATGACAAAGAGACCCTTTTTCATTCAAAGTCAGATACCTCGGCTCTAAATGATCGCATCAAGATTTGAAAAACATGCTACTGACGCTGAATAAATGGGCTCTGATCCATATGATGGCCTAACAGTAAACAGTTTTTCAAGCGCGTGGACTAAAAAGAAGGCAAAAAGTTTGCAAAAAATGTTTCTTGCGCTATCTGTTAGAATTGCATGACTCCTGCGGCTCATAAAATTTGTTTGCTATAAAAACTGAAAACTAGAATCTTAAAGTTTCTAAATGCTTTTTTAAAAGTCTAAATACGACCACTTTTCCGCCGAGAAACAGCCAGTCAAAAATCACTGGAGAATTTGGATTTTATTGTTGCTCCCTTAATTTTCTGAGTTGTGTATTGTATGCAAGTAAAGCTGTCAGTATTTTTGACTATAGGAAACTTCCTAATTGCTGTTCAAAATATATCGACTTGCCCCCAGTCACTTTTCTGCTGGAACAGCCTTGACAGTTCGAAGCATTTAATCAACAAACTCTGACAGCCAAGTGCTGTCTAAAACAAAGCTATCCCATGGCTACTGATCTTCAGCATAAAAGCTATGCACTGCTTTAAACATCTACATGAAGATCTTGGAGGACGTACCCAGTAGAAGCAAAACCCAAATAAAATTTTGTTATCATCTCGTATAATAATGACCTGAACCTCCATATGGCTTAGTCATTTATATTTTTAACTATTTAATCGATTTCGTTGTTTAAGTGTGGCGAGGTGCTTGGTTATGCGTGAAACTGCATACTGATACTTGTGTTTGTAAAAAACAATGTGTGCTTCACGTTTTGTCATTCTCATCATAATTTCCGAGGTACGCTACACTACAATGAGACAAGCCGTGACCTGTTACCCCTGAAATATGTAACTAAAAATGGAAATTAGCTTCGGCCAACAGCCTGGCTGGATATTCGGTTGTGAAAAATCATCGTTCCTGGCAATTCCAATATTTAACTGGGATGGAATAAAGTGTTTTTTGATTGTATGAAGATATATTACGCGTCATTCACAGACATAGCCAAGACGCCAATAAGAAAAAGGTATTATACATATCACATAATTAAATATATGAAATCACATACAGACACAGGTAAAAGTAGTATTTTTCATTGAGACACAAACATCCAGAGTTCGTTAACATCTGTACATTTGCCCTGCGCGAACTACATCTATGAAACAGTTTAAATATAGACAATTTAATAATCGTACACAGTGATTGAAGGACAATGAAATATAAAAAGTACAGGAGTTGTGATATAGTTCATGCAAGTCAAACGCTAACATCACCAACCACACTTGTACAGTTGTTTTGAAGTATCAATAGATAATTCTAGAAAATAATGGGCTGGTACGGTAGTTAGCAGTATTACTGATGAACGATTAATAGTGTGTTGATACTCCAAACTAACTGTGCATACATAAAAAAATAAAAAAATGGCGTCAAGTAAACTGACTATAGTGGGAAGCCTTTTATTTGAAATTTGGGAATTTCAAAGTAAGCCTGGCTCATTCAAAAGACGGAATCGAGACCTTAATTAGGAATATTCACTTAAGTCCGATATATCTCTATACATCTCTGTGTAAAATAAATATCATATTTCTGTGTGATTATTATATCTAACAAGTGCTTAGTATTAGCAGGATTAGCAGCTTCCTGATAAGAGAAGATCTTTCACTAATAGCAAACATGCAACAATTTAAAATCTTTAAAAACTTTCAGAAAATGAGCAGGAAATTCTGAAACTTTGAAGCACCATGTTTCACCGATTTTTTCAATGTGGCTCCGCCGCCACTGAGTCAATTTTCAAATATTACTACTTCCTACTTTTTCACATAGTAATCACATCGTGTCAAAATATTAAGATTAAGATTAAGACACAGACAGAAAGACCTAACCACTCCCTCGGCCCAATAGCATCCATGTCTCTCGCCACTACACGCTACGTGTAGTCAACTCATAAGAATGCATGGGAGGTAAAAGTCAATTTACTTGACACCATAAACGTCGAAAGTATTAAAATCGCAAAAATATTCAAACTTCAGATATCTGCAGAACACAAACCCATGTCACTCATTTCCGTCGGTTTGTCAGTCTGAGTCTGTCTGTCGGTGTTCTTGTAACCACGTAATTTCATAAACACCTGCACCTGTTTTAATGAAATTTTCGGATCATTATGTTGTGGCACCGCAGCAGCTAATGATATCTCTTAGGCGGAGGAAGAATCAGCAGAAAACACCATGGCATCGAACCGTTTACAAACTACGTTTCTCAAGTATCAGCTACTTTTGGTCATTATGAAAAAAATTCGTTTTGGACTTAAGGTTTTCAAAAACTACTGTTTTTCGCCGTTTTACAGGATTATAATCGCTTAAATATTTGAATCGTGACATACACGAGTCATCAAAAACTATAACCATATTAATGTTGTACATTCAAGTTTGAAAATAGTTGTATTTGCATGAACGAGAAGAGAAGTACTGAGTCAATCTACTTGTTGGCATTTCCGTCTTGTTTTACGCCCCTGAGAGTTCTTTTCTTATTCACGGAAATACGTATATACCAATCTATATCGACTCCTAAGCCTCAAATACTTCCCGATTATAAACATACGTACTCATTCTTCCTCTCCTCCCCTCCTCGTCAACCTCGGTCCACCTTCCACGCGTCCTCCCCTGCACCTAACTACTGCCCTGGAAGGCCGACGCGACACCATCATGGACGCTGTTATCGCGTCGGTCAGAGCGTCAAAGGATCGTATATCCTACGATTGCAGGTATTATTTGGAATTGTGAGCACAATCATCGGATTTTTGTCATATAAATGTTGTTACTACCGGAGGCAGAAGCTTTTCAACGATGGAACGTCTTTCACTGATACCAAAGATGCAACATTCACAACTCCCATCCCTACAATTTTTTCTCAAAATGGTCTGGAAGCCCTGAAACGTGAAAGAATGAAGTTTGAGTGATTTTTATTTTTTTCGTTTTTGGCCTCAAGCTCCGTCGCCACTGTATCGATTTTCACAAACTGCAAAGCTTGTTCTTCCTTGGCATAGTAGTAACTTGTGTAAAAATTTCATCAAAATACGAGCGGTACTTTCCAAGTTATAGACTGGTCAAGGGTTAGCGGACAAATAGACCAACAGACAGACTGACGGAAATGAGTGACATCGTTTTTCGTTACATTCATGTCACATAACGTCCATCGCGATTACAATACTTTCTCGCCAGTGTCGTAGAAAGTAATGAAGGACGTTCACCAAGTTACGCATTTTTCTTATTTACAAACGAAGCAGTATGGATCAAGAAAGTGGTAATACTCGACAATATTTTGCCCAACAACGGCTTTGAATATCTTAGGCCATTGCTTATTAAATCAAACCACTACATCTGAATAACATATATTTCCAACAATTTCACCAACCATCCAGAAAATATATTCATACGATTAGCAAATCAAAATATAAACAGTTTTATACAAGTTACCACTTCTTTGAGAACAATAAATTGTTTTGATAAGATTATATGCCAGTAGCACCAGATATTAGAGAAATTATGTTTATAAAAATATAATACATATACTTATAATAAAAAACTAAAAGCTAAATAACGTTTACAAATATACAAAACTTCGTGGTATATAATACATCATCTCAATGTCATGTATTTATTTAAGAATATTCACAGCGAGTTCCAGAAAACATAGGCAAGTTTCATTATTAATAAGTGTTTACCATTATCATGGCATATTTATTGATACTAGTTCCAAATGGTTCTGACATAAACGCCCGACACAAGTATAAAAATTTTTTTCTAACACTATTTTACCAGAAATTTGAGTAATGCTGCATCTCTTTGTATAATGTTTTGTTTTTCCTAAGAATTGTACCACTTAACCTTTCACTTGCTGAACATGCGTTGTAAATTATGAAGGCATACTCATAAATCTTGAAAAGGAGGTCAGAAGAGAATTGCGATTTTCGCCCACCATACTCGTACAAAGTTTCGACTTAAGCCATTTTTTTATACTTATCCAAGTTCAAGTATTTTTATTTGTACATCTACAATGTATTGAAAAAAAATTGAAATTATCCAGAAAAAAACCTTCGATCTTAGCACGTTTATTGAATTTTAGGTATTATAAGAGTTAAGGATTTTTTCTTTAGACGCTCTACTCACCAAAATAAAGCAGTGCCAGTCTGAAAAATTATTTTAATCTACGTCCATAGGGAATATTCCAAAATCAAAGGTAAAAAACGCTTAAAATGGCTAACATTTAATAAACATGCCCAGTTTGAGAGATTTTTCTTGATGCAACGCGTCTTATACTTTATCAATTTATCGTAGATGTAAATAAGAATACTTGAACTTAATCTTAACAGAATAATATAGAAGAAATCTAAACTATGGATTTTTACGAAAAATTATGGGCGAAAAAAGACAGATCTTTACCTACCTCCTTGGTCATAGAATTTATGTCAAAATATGAAAAACGTAATCTGAAAACTGTTTAATCAGTGATGGGAACATTGAGTAAATTGCTAAAGATTATTTTTTGTAAGTTTTGAGTTTTGAGAAAAATTGAGATGAACAAATATATTGTATATTGGATATTTTTCGTTTTCAAAATTAACGAGTACATACTTGCAGCTTAATAGATACACATCCACCACTAAACATTTCTCTGCATGAAAAAGGTCACACGAACATTAAAACCCCTTTAATCGGATATTTGAAAGTCACACACAAATCTCATGAAATTAGCTAAATTGAGATATTAATTAGTTAAACAGACACTCTTTTGTTAAGTCAATATATATTTATTTATGATTCAAGAATCGGGAAAGCTCTTTAAAATATGTACAGAAATGCAAATATAGCAAAATCGAATTGGCTGACAGTACCATCGTCCTGCTCTATGGTTACGTATTTTCTTATTTAGTGTTCAAAAATTAATTATAAGAACTGAAAATAAGGAGTAGACCATATGGAAGCATATCCAATATGTCATTTATCGTTACGCACGGTTTTTGTATGCTAAACGCATTATCATGTAATCATATCTGTAATAATAAAATCACTAATCTGGTTCAAGCAGCAGCAGCTGTAGCAGGCTATATACTCTGATAATGCTTTCGCATTATGTTGATAAGAACTTCCATATAAAAGTATAATCCGACAATTTTTAGTCATTTCAATACGACTAATTTTATTTTAAGTTTTGAAGTTATATGAAGACTTCTGGTGCGAATACATGCAATGATACTGAGACTTACTCCAGGCACACTTTATGATATCGGTACCTTAGATATTGTTCGTAAGTTTTCTTTAAATAGTGCTGCAATTTATTATTATGAACGAATGATAATTTTGCATATGGTGATGAACACAAATTATGTATGATCAACTTTTCAAGACTATATGTGGCGTTTATCAGAGACAAACGATCACGATCACATAATGGCTTATCATGTTAAATTCTAATTCAGTAAGTGATCATACGGTAGCCTTAGCCAGTAGCGCTAGGTGATAGAAGTCTTCAACCAAAATTGTATATGAATCATAATAATCAAAATACAGTAAACATTTTGTAGACATTATTATGTATATAAATGCGCCCATTGGTCGCCTAGTAGAAAATAATATGTATGTATATTAGCATAGAAAAACAAAAGCATTAAAATATTTACAAAAATGACTATAACTTATTTGCAAAATGAAAAATGTACTGGCTGAATTTTTGATTGCTGATTTAGCGTATTGGGAATCTTTAGGCCCGGTTTCTGCTACAAAAATGAAAGTGGCAATTTAATAATCTGGTCAAGATCAATACTCATGAATATATAACACATATTGTGCTTTGAAACTAGTCGTGAACGATCATAATGACTTCGTGATGTATAGGAAGTAATTACCAGATCCGGGTGACAGTAAATTAATGCACTTACCTTTCATAAGAGTAAAAATCTGACCAAAATGTATTTTATATTTTTTTGGCCCCTAATTTCATGGGCCCACCGCCTATAACTCTAGTAGCGCGTTTCGCTTCTAGTTCTTTCTGTCTCATCAATTTCCTTTCTTCTCTTTTTTTCTTAGCCTCCTCCAATTTTGCATTATTGTGACTAGCGTGATCATCATTATTCTCTATTTTACTATCTTCCCAATGGGATTGTGGGCTCCTATTTCTTATCGGCAGGTTATTTTTCTGATTAGGGAGAATGGGTGCGGTGTCACTGGGGCTCCATGCTTCAGAAGGAGAAGTGAGATCCCCTTCAGCCTCCTGAAATCGTTTAAAGCACGATATTATATACTAAGTGACATATAAATCCGAACACCCAGTTTAAATGGTTTTATTTTAATAAAATTTTGTATAAGTACTTAATGAAGCATAATAAGTAAATGATAAAAATTTCAAAATGATTGGACTGCTTTAAAGCCCTTTGACCTTTAATAATGTGTGGATGCACCCTGATGTGCTACGCATTCTCCAACGCGCCTAGGCATGCTTCTGATCAGGCGGTCAATGTCCTCCTGTGGTATCTCATTCCAGGCAACCACCAACTCCTCTCGAAGTGCTTCTAGAGTCTGAGGAGGACGTTGCAAATTGAGCAATCTCCTACCCATCATATCCCACACGTGCTCAATTGGGGATAAGTCGGGAGGTCTTGGTGGCCATGGTAACAATGTGACATCATTATGTTGAAAGAAGTCTCCTTTCACCACGTCGCCTTCCAACCCTGGCACGACCATCGTGCATGTCTAAACAAAATCGAGACTCGTCACTAAAGACAATACTGTTCCATTCCTGATCCCAGAGTGACCGTTGTCTGCACCACTCAAGGCGATTACGTCGGTGCTCTCGAGTTAAAGGGAGGACCCAGTGTGGCCGGTATGAAAACAAGCCAAAACTTCTCATTCGTCGGTAAACACTTCACATGCCAATAGGTCTCCCGTGTTCTGCAAACCATTCATTTGCAATGGACCTGGTAGTGGAGAAACGGTCCCTTAAGGCCAATAATCTCAGGCGGCGATCTTCACGATCTGTTGTTCTACGGCGGCGTCCAGTGCCCCTTGCTCTTTGCGTACGACCTTCTCGAAGCCATGCCTGACAACACCTAACCACAGTGTCTACACTTCTTTGCACTCTAACTGCAATTGCCCGAAAAGAAAGTCCAGCTTCCCGAAGTCCCACTATACGGCCCCTATCAAACTCACTAAGTTGACGAAATCGTACAGGTCTCCGTACTCTAGGCATCGTAACCGATCGTAAAGGATGTCAAGAACCAAAATCCGCCAACGTTGATTCTTTACTGCGGCTGAAATATTCATTTTTAGAGCGTTAGTGAATTAAAAAAAAGCAGTATAAAAACCGGAATGTCCAACTGATAAGGCTGAAAATTTTTTCACTTGTTATTTACAGTAAGATAAATACATTCAACCAACTTTTATTAAAATAAAATCATTTAAACTGGGTGTTGGGATTTATATGTCATTTAGTATAGAAACAATATTCAAATATTTCTCTTGCTACTCATAACAAACTCATTTTTATAACACCAGGTGTTTCAAATTCGACTCTCATCACTGGAATCTCGAAACCGGTAAGAGGTACGAAGTCGCTTAAACGGGGTAGTTGCACATTTGGGTAACAAGCAAAGATCACTTAGAAACTCTCGTAATTTCAAAGTCTTTCCGAAAAAAGGAGTTTTCCGAAAATCGTTTTTATTTTTCCCAACTTTCTTTGAGATGCGATTTCAAAATAAGAAGCACATTAGCATTGGCACGTTCTCTCCTCTAAAAGAAAGCGTAATTCGAATTTCAAAATGACGTTTCGTCTTTTTTCCGCAATCATTGATTTTTACGTATATTGGATTTCTGCACGGGTGAAGACTTTTTGATTTTGATTTCAAACAAGTATAATATGTCATACATTATCAAACCCAGGTTATTTAAAAATATAAGTTTATCGCATCTTTATCCGATTAAATAATCAATGCTTCAGTTTTCTCAGTTAGCGTGCTTGAAGGACACTCAAATAATTTGCCCATTTATTGACCATAACACGCATTATTTTAGCACGATGGAAACCTTCTAAATTTAACCTCAGCCGAAGATTATATTGGATATACAGGGTGGCCCATCCATGTGTGGACGGAATATTACTCATAAACAAACACATTTTGGGAAAATCTATTTATGTCCTGTTATACATGACATTTCATGGCACATTTCTAAAATATTGGCAATTATACAGGGTGTCCCAATTTTGACCTACATATCAAAGTTGTGATTTTTTAAATGGAATGCCTCAAATTTTATTGCATATTTGGATAAACTAATTCAGAAGATTGATATAACTTACTATGTGGTTTTGGTACTTAGCTACTGAGATGTAAAGTGTTTTCTCCAGAAAAACCGCCCACCTCGGCAACCACTCAATCCGTCATTTTGAATTTTGTATCAAAAAAAACTTACACACCTCAGCTTTCATCTTATTTTTTACTTTTTCGAATCTTCATTTTTGCTCATACAGGATGGTTAAACACGCGAACTGTACTTTTTCTCAAAAATTTCAAATGCATCACCCTGTATATTTGTGCAAGTTTGGATTCAATTTTTTATAAGCTTTTTGGTATTAGGTTTGATCCAAATAAAATCACTAGATTTTGAATTATTAAGCTTTTAATAGAACAAGACACCAAAATTAAGGAAAAATTTCACATCATCCATGGAAACAAAAGACAAACAAGGGGCTAGTTCCATATTGCCACTAAGAGGACAGATTTGACGTGAAAACTAATAACAATCAGAACAGTATAGATCAACTTCAAGCATAATAGAGAAAATAACAACATAAACAAACAACTGTCACTACTAAAGACCTAATCTACAAAAACTGCTCGAAAATATCTCCACCATATTGAATACATAGCCGTAGTCTTTAGATAGATGACCGTTGCACATCCCTCAGCATGTGTTCCCTTATGTTCAGAAAAGCATCCTTAGTTTTTTCCTTCATATTTTCCGGGGTAGATGGTGGATATATATAAACCTTTTGCTTAACGTAGCCCCATAGAAAGAAGTCCATCGGTGTCATATCTGGTGATCTAGGAAGCCAAGATATAGGCTCATCACGACCGATCCAACGATTGTTACTCCAGGTGTCCAAATAGTTACGCACACGATTACATATATGATAATGCGCAGGTGCGCTGTCATGTTGGAAGTACATATGCATCCGAGTTTGCAGGTTGACATCCACCAAAAGCAAAGGCAAATGCCCGATCAAAAAATTCAAGTATTCTATACCTGTTAATCTGTTGCCGAAAAAGAAAGGCCCAATAACTTGTCCGCCAATAACTCCTCCCCAAACATTCAAGCTCCGTTTATTTTGGAAATCTATTTGCCTAACCCAGTAAGGGTTTTCCGTCGCATAATAGTGCATGTTATGCCTGTTGACAACACCTATGTTGTTAAAAGTTGCCTCATCGTTAAAAAGAACCTTATCCAGGAAAGTAGTGTCTTCACTCACATTATTTAGTGTTTCCAAGGATGATCCGTAAAAACCCTTATGTGTCTAGTATCAAAAAAGAGCTTATAAAAAATTGAATCGAAACTTGCATAAATATACAGGGTGATGCATTTGAAATTTTTGAGAAAAACTACAATTTGCGTTTTTGACCACCCTGTATGAGCAAAAATTAAAATTCGAAAAAGTAACAAATAAGATAAAAGCTGAGGTACAAAATTCAGCACTCCCAATTTAAAAATGGTGGACTTGCCAAAGTGGGTTTTTTCTAGACATAGTATGTTATATCAATTTTCTTCTTTTGAATTGGTTTATCCAAATATGCTATAAAATTTGAGGCATTAAATTTGAAAAATCACAACTTTGATATGTCGGTCAAAATGGCCAATATTCTAGAAATTTTATTTTAAAAATCCCATAAATAGATTTTCCCAAAATGTATTTGTTTATGAGTAATATTCCGTCCACACATGGATGGGCTACCCTGTATATTTGGATGTGTACTTGAAAAGCTGCAACATCGTCGAGACGTTTATTTATTCTAAAATGTTTTTATCAGTTACATAAAGTAGTACTGTGTAATGAAGTTTTTTCCCGGTGCCGTGAACTACGTACTTTATGACCTCACCTCATATTTACGTTTTCTCTGCAAAATTAAATTTTAGATTAATCACTATACCATATTCGTAGTCCATTTACGCCCCGGTACAAAGATGCAGCGTGGCAAAGCGGCAGCTGCCTAAGCGTTGCAATAGCTATTGGTCATTCGGCCATAAAAACACTCAATTCTGATTTGGCAAAAATCATAAATTGGTTAAATATAAATAAACTCAAATTGAATACTTCTAAAACAAAATGTATGCTAATAGGGAAATACCTAAATGAAAATATTATCACAGCTAGGATAAATGGTGAAATAATTGAAAATGTTGAATCAATTAAATATCTAGGTATATACATTGATAGTAAACTAAAGTTTGATGATCACTACGAATACATTATTTCAAAAATTGCCAATAAAGCAAATTACTTTTATAGGGCTTCTCATAGTCTTGGTAGATATTCGAAGAAAATTTCGCATTTACTATATTGTTCAACTATCTTGTTCACTGCCAATGAAGATGTATTCTCAAAGTTACAAGTCCTGCAAAATATAGCTATGCGAATAATATTGAATAAAAATAGGTACACCAAAGTAAAATCTATGTTACAAGAATTGCAGTGGTTGAATATCAAAAATTTCATATCATATTTGGTTCTTATTTTTATATTTAAAACGAAAAATCATATTTTTCCACAACATTTAGAACACTACATAGAACTGATTAATCATTATCACAATTATTATACAAGAGACAATATAGATTTACATTCACAAAATTGCAATAGTAATATAACTAGCAAATCAATATTTTAGAAAGGATTACTTGAATTTAATAAACTTAATAATGATCTAATTGCAATTTGAAGATGTTTAAAAGAAAATTAAAGGAATATTTCATGGACAATGAAAATTCTTAGAGATACAAATTTTGTTTTTTTTTAAATACCTGTATGTTATGTAATTGTTTAGTTTTTCAGAAGAATGTAATTGTAGCAATCATGCCAAATAAATCTTAAACAAACAAACAAATCTCGAATCCTCAAGCAAACCTGATCTTTTTATGACTTTCCACAGTCGTTTTTGTTGCCGCGTGTTACACAGCACGATTCACGAAAATTGCTACTTTTCATTCTCCGTATTAGAATAAATTATAATAAATAAAATAATTTAAATAAAATTGTAAGTGTTGTAGTAGCACTAGACGAGATTCAGGACGTCAGGAATGCGCCCTGAGAGAGTACTAATATGGGATCTACAGGAGGAAATCAACACGCCAAAGTGGCGTATCTAGGCACTTGCTGAAACAGAGACATATAGCCCTTATAACGATTAAAAAGTCTTTGTTCAACGACCCGATGCCTTGGGAAAATTGTCACACAACCCTCCTGGTGATGTCGACCCTGCAAGGTCTCTAACAGTGGGCGAAAAGGGCATTACGATTCCTACTGGTTCTATTCCGGGTTGTAAATGCACTTTAGAGTGCTCCGTGTGCGGGAATTGTAACTAGGGATGTAACGGGTAGTAATTTCCGGGAACCGGCCAAACCGGGTACCCGGCTCTTTAGGTTCCGGCTTCATGCCGGGTACCCGGCCCACCTGTTTGCTGCTTGCACGCTCTCGGATTTCCCACTACTCAAACTCAAAACATTCAAATTGAAAACGAATTTTGTTTGCACTTTTTTGCGAAACTGTCGGCCAAAGATTAGAATATGTAATCTTTTTTTGTAAAAGCGTTGGCAACTCTGCGAAAACCAGCTTGCCGTATAACAAATGCTCGGAGCAACGTGGATATTTGTGGGCAAGACCCGACGTTGTCGCGTGAATCCCCGCGTCGAGAACAGGTGTATTGTTCTGTGGGTGTATTATTGACTATTACTTTTTCACTCTAGTTACTTACTATCGAGCTTACTATTATATTGTTTAAGGTAAAAGTTAAAAGTGTTACTAGAGAGTTATCGAGCGAGATTAGCCAATTTAAAAATGAGCAAAGTGTGGGAACATTTTATAATTGACAATGAAGATGAATCAAAAGCAGTGTGTGGATTATGGTGGCACAAAAATTCTTCGGGGTCTTGGAAAAAAAGCGAGTACATCATCTTTGTGGAAACACTTAAAATATAAGCATCCACTTACATTAAAGGATCAAAGTAAAATCGAAAATAAGCAATGTTCAGGTTCAGAATCTTCAGGAGAATTGAGACAAATTAAAATTACTGAGAGCTTCGAAAGACAATGGGACATAAACGATTCAAGGGCAAAGATAATACACCAGGCTATAGGAGAAATGATCGTTCTTGATAACCAACCTTTTTCTGTTGTGGAGAATAAAGGTAAAATGAAAGTAGCTACATATTATTATTAATATTATTAATTATTTTTATATGATATTTGCACTTAAATTTTAAGTAACGAAAAAAGGTTTCTCGTTGACAATTTTTTTTGCAATATGGTTAGTTTTCCGCACCGTTTTATTTTAAACGTATATAGCTACACAACGAGTTGCTGTACTTTTTAAGTTGCCATATAAACTTATCGCGAATAAATTTTTAGGATTCAAGAGATTGTTTGCTGTCCTGGAACGAAAGTATAGTATACCCAGTCGGCCATATTTCAGCAAAACTGTCATTTCTTGAGATATACGAAAAGTGTCAAGTAGCTGAAATGTTAGCAGATCATTTCTTTCACAACAGACATGAGGACTTCTGATATGAACAATATGAGCTTTATAAGTTTAACTGGACATTGGATTTCCAGAAATTTTGAACAAAAACATTATGTGCTAAGTATTCGTGGTCTGGATGGCAGTCATACTGGTGAAAATATAAAAAATGATTTACAGTAATTGTTAAGAAATAATAACATAGAAGTAGGCGGAGTTCACTTGGTTCTTCGAGATAGCGGTGCTAATATTAAGAAGGCTACAAAAGATATGGGAGTCAATAATGAATCCTGTTTTATACATACTCAGCAGCTTGTAGTAGTTAACTCTCTTAAAGAGCAAACATCCCTTATGGAAATTGTATCCACTGCAAGAAAAATAGTGACTCATATAAACCATTCCTCTCCATCTCGAACAAAATTAGAAGAAATTCAGAAAGACGTCAACCTACCTATCAAAAAAATGGTTCAAGATGTTCAAACACGTTGGAATTCCACGTATTATCTATTAGAAAAACTTATCGAGAAGCGAAGGGCCATTAACTTGCTTGCCAAGGAAGTTGATGCGGTTCCCTCTTCGACACCAAGTCAGTGGGATTCGTTAGAAAAGCTTTTACAACCATTTGAGCAAACTACCAAATATTTTAGCAGAGAATTATGTATAATATCAGAATGGAAATTAAGATTTCTGGACTAGAAAATTTACAGCAAAGTTTGCTAGAAAATTTGACTAAACTTTTTTGTGAAATTGAGAATAACAATAATTTTTTAATAGATACTTTTTGGATCCCCGGTTCAAGGATACATTTTTCACTGATAAACATAAAACAACAGTCGATATTTTAAAATATATTCAGAGTCTACCTGTGGATATGACAATATTCAGAGTCTAACTGTGGATATGACACCTATTGACTACAATAAAGCTTGCGTTACGTCAGTAGATTTAAGTTCTGATGAATCTGACGATGATTTTCCGCTTAGCACTTTATTTAAGATACCCGAAAAACGCAAGAAACCTAATGAGTCTGTTTGGGATATATTTTCGAATATTGCACATAGCCGCGACAGTATTGCAGGAACTTCCAAAAATTTAGAAACTGTGGAAACTCAATTCAATTCTTATTTGAAATTGCCACTTATTGATCGTACTTCATGCCCTCTTTCACAAATTAGCAGATCTTGTTCAGATATTTCTATCAGCTCCGGCTTCAACAATATTCAGTGAGAGGCTGTTTTCAGAAGCTGGAATGATTTTCGAAGAAAAAGGAAGTAGGCTAACTGCAGAAAATGGCGAAATGCTAACCTACCTTCATCATAATCTTCCTTTACTTAATTTTAAATATTAGATTATGTTTGTGTAAATTCGTTTTCTGTTTTCTTTTTGTACAATTTAACTTTTTTAAATAATGTAGTTTTTATTTAATACCTATATTATTTAATATATTATGCATTAAGTTGTTTTTTACAGGCTCTTTGGCCTCTATTTTTTTCAATATTTTTTTTTCATTTATTCAGTCTACCCGACCGGGTACCTCGTCAAATTAGCCGGGTACCCGTTACATCCCTAATTGTAACTTCCACGGAGCTGATGCACCGCCGGTCGTAGATGAGGCGCTAGAACTAGATCTAGGCGCTTTTGTGGCTGGAAACCCTGCAGAGTCTGATCTAGCCATTGGGAATGAGATGCTCATTTTATAGGCCACGGAATCGAATAGAAATACTTTTGATTCAATCAAATGCACCACGCCGGCGTCAGGACGTCACGAGGATTCCCAGTGGCGGACGGTATTACGTAGCGACCCTGGTCGGTTCTAGAACGTTGGCGAGCGCTATAAACGCGCGGGAGGATGTACGCCGACTCTCTTCTCATGTACCAGGCGATGCAAACGGTATTCCGTAGTACAAAGGTACCCGCCTGTACCAAGAGGTAAGGGGGTGAGTTTACAGCGTGTTCCGTTTAACCAGTGCGTTTCGTTTTAGTGAGATAGCAGTAGGTCTGTTAACTGTAACTGAAGTATTTTTAAGGTTCTGGGTTTATTTTTTATTGTTGAAATTCTGCTCCCCGCGTAGATCCTAATCCAGAACCTGAGAGAGATTTTATGTTTCTGATTGATTCGTTCTTTATTCCTAGAAATTGTAGCGTACCGTTTTCCGTGTATACTTTTGAAGAATGAGTTTTGAGTAGAGAGTTGTTCTTCCGATTTTTGAATTTTGACTTTACTAGTTTGATTTAGATTTTAATAAGGCTTTAGAACAAAACGTTTATGAATGAGTTTACCAGTCATTACAAAATTTTTATTTGAGATTTAGATAAGTGTTTTTGAGTATACGAGGGTACTTTGAAATATTTTGATTATTCCGTTTGGACTTAGTCTAGTTCTATACTAGCTCTGGTTCATTTCATTGGTGTACAAATAAGCGTTGGCTACTAAGGCCGTCTGTACCGTAATACCGAACTGCACCGACCGTAAACCGAACCGCACCGATTCCGATTTACTCATCCTTACTTTGGACCCATTGCGGTTTAACCGGCACTAGGTAGCTAGTGTTAGGATTGCTTTGATTTCAAGTTGAAGAATTGAAAATTAAAACAGGGAGTGGCGTAAATGAGATATTTCCGAACAATCTTTATCCTGTTTAATTTTGATAACTGCGTTTGAAGTTGGCCATTTTGTGTTTGTAATACAATGCAGAACTAATCATACGTAGCAAATATCAGATTAATAGGTCAACAGAAAGGAGGTAAAATTTGAATCAACAAATTCACCCAAGGCACAAATCGCTTACACACAGATGGAGCCGTCTTTTACCGACTTGTTATAATTAATTTTTATAATCGACTTTTTTAACATCCCTGAGCAACATAGTCTAAGAAATATATTTTTCGTATAATGACACTCACCGCTTCCTCATCCAAACTTCCCCATTCCTCATTATCCCAACCTTCTGTTACCTTTGCTGCAGATCCTGATGGAGGACTAGTGGGGTCACTTGTTCCGGTAGCACAACCACTTCCACTGCTACTTTGCATCTGACCACCAGTCTGCAAGGTAAGGAACATTATATGCCTAAATTTGCTGTAATCTTTATTTCAAATAATTTCTACAGCTTGAAAAATACATGTTGATAGACATGACAACAAGAAAAGAAAATATCAAAATCATAAATGCACACTGCGATTTTCTTCCAGCACGTTGACGTGCGTTTGATACAATCAGGACGACGCTGCGAATTATCGCAAGCAATGTACCTATGTGTGAGGTCAAGCAGAGCATCTAACGCATGATAAAGCACCATCGTGAAATGCATGACGACAACACTAGAAGAGCCGCCGTACGCACAGGCTATTAACGTTCTCCAGACAATGTCAATGGTATAAAATATGTACGATTCTAATGAAGGAAAGTTGAGCTATGCACTTAAGTTTATAGATACCTCCATGTCACCCCAGTTTTCATTATCCTCCCAATTGTTATAGTCGTAATCTGATACAGATTCATTGCCCCGACTGCCGTCTTCGTGTTCCAATGACGTCATCGAAGTGACACTGGAAGTCGTCGTTGATAAACTACTACTAGATGGTTGCTCTGAAATCAAAATAAGCAATGATCAATATTTCCCCATATTTCTCTGGCCAATCAAAACTACATGTGTTGAAAACATCTTCTCTATTGTAAACGTTTCGGCCACAACGGTGACCTTCTTCAAAACAATGAGTGACAATATATTTTATTTATCTGTCTTCCAGACACCTTTCAAGTGACACTTGGTTTTTTTTTTCATTTTCATATCCCTACACAGTGTGTTACCACAATATTATGAAAAGTCCTGTAACCTGCTGAGATGGCTCGAAGAAATCATTCCAAATTTTGAAGCTAGCACCTCGCAAAAACAGCATAGCCCAGAACCGCCAGCATTCCCGCCCCCCAAAAAGAGGAGTCCAGCCTTTCAAAATGACAAGCGAGCATGAGGTTATCTGTCGTTTTTTCAAATGTGCCAAATCATTTTGCGTGGTGCCATCTTAAAAAGGAATGATCACTTCGCGCGATCTCAGCATGTTACGGGTCGTTTCAGACTATTGTAGTAACACACTGTACAGGAATATGGAAATGAAAAGAAAGAACAATCGAAGTGTCAGCTAGAAGAGAGATAAATAAAGTATATATTGTCAAAGACATTGTACTAAGGTCACCGTTTTGACCGAAACGTTTACAATAAAGAAGATTTTTTCAACATATGAAAAGAAACATGGACAATTATCGACAAGAAAGCCACATCATAAGTTTCAGATGTTACATAAATGATTAATATCTCTAGACTAAATCAAATTATTAAAATTCAACCAGTATTCTTACAGTGATTAATGTTAATAACTAATCCTGGATAAAAGCGTTAAAATTAATTATGCGTAATAGTTATCATTCTCACCTAATGATCCTGGCTTACTTAGAATTTTACTAGCTACTGGATTCACAGATTTGACAGTGTCCGACTGACTTCTATAAAATTTAGCTGTAACAGCTGTAACTGCCCATCCAGCCCACGTTGCGGCGGCATTACTTAAGCTAGGTGTTGCTGTATTTACATCGGCCTCTGCAAAAAATAAAAAGAAAACAGTACAGTAAACAGTTCACCCCTTGAAAGATGTATCACTTCACGAAACATTTCATATTTGGCGGAATCTGTCAAATATTTTTGACATATAGGTATTAACAAATTAAATCAAATATTATTTACTCCTACTGTTGGCGGCATGTCAGTTAATAGGGGGATGTGACATCTTAGCGCTATTTTGACATGTGTGTGAGCGACAACGCCACATCTATTGATATAATAACCCACAGCTCTCTAATGTTTTGCCACACTGTACAATAGAATTCACTTAACTGTATGTGTTACTTTCATGTTAAGTTTTGCTGTTCATTTCTTTTAACTGATCTAAAACCGTAATTTCTAACAGTGCTAAAACAATCCACAATTATGACATTTCTCTTACCCATACTTTCCCTCAAGCTAGGATCTTCTGAAACCTTTTCTAGTTTTCCTAAAAAACCCTTAATGGTTCGAAATACGGAATCTCTTACTGATTTCTCTGGATCCATGGTTAATTGACACAATGCAGGGAGGATCCTCGAAGAAACCTCTGACAGTAGATAATACTGTTGTGTGGCAGCCATAGCCAGCACACCTTGAAACAGAAAACAACAGAATATTTGAGTAATGAGAGCCAGCCAGCTTTGAACCATCAAAAATCCTTAGTATCTCTTGATATATCGGGTTTTCAAAAAACGTGGTACAAGTTGATATCACAACGAAATTATGTTATAGAGAAAAGTACCCTCGAAGCTCACCAAACGCATAAGTTCAACGCGCGCACGCAGCGAAGGAAAGCGGCTCAGTGCCCTCGTACCTTCCTTCCTCCTCTCTGGCCGCCTATACACAAGTAATTTTCTTCAACGCCAAGTTTTTGTAACAATTGGGTGATACATAGTGAGTGAGGGATTTACTTCGACAAGACTTTCACATAATTAAGATCGAACATAACTTACAGGTAAGTTCGTTTGATGATATAATTATGTTCCGGCCTCGTCGAAGTAAATACTACTTGTAGATGTTCAAAGAGAGTTGCAACAACATACTACTAACGCTCTGCAATAGTAAACTATAGGTGGTACACAACTATATACATATTTGATAATGACGAACGAACAAAATTTAATTGCAAAAGTTATGCATGCTCCTAAGCTCAGTGATCATTCATGGATATATTTTGAAGTTGAAAGTATATTTGATGCTAACAAAGTTGTATAAATTACTAATATCAACTATGTAAAATTACGAGAAGCTCTTTTACTGCAAGATATGACTGAAGTGTTTGTTGACAAGACAACAATTTATAAAAGAAAAAATCCAACACCTTGGTTCTCGCAGACGTTCAAGGATTCTAAATTAAAAAGAGAGAACTAATAAAAAGTTAATGATTACTGGGAGTGCAAATGTTTAGTAGAATACACAAGATCAAGAAACCAATATGTAGCAGTTCTACGAGATGAAAAGAAAAAATATTACAATGTCAAAATTGATGGGAGTAAAAATAAAAGCATACATATATAGAAAACGTTGAAAAACATTGTTTCTCCTATAAGAAAAAAATAGATTATCTAAAATGAAATTCGATGCTGGGGTAATAACAAATGAAGAAATAATATGCCTACTTAATAGAAAGTGTCAACGACAATGTAAGATCAATTTATTGACGGGGAACCCAACCAATGTCCCATTAGCTTAGATTATAATAGAATATAATCATTCAGTGAGTTTAGAATAATAAACATCAATCGTCTAAAGATTATATCAAAAATTAAATGAAAATAAGAGTGAGATTTTGTCTAAAAGTGTGCTTAATGAATTTTTTGATATTATTGGAGCAAGAATATTAATCCTGATAAATTACTGTATAAATATAACGAATTTTCAACAAAGCTGAAGTATTCTACCATAACTCCTGTTTCTAAAGTTAAGAATTCTGAGTTGTACATCAATATGCGGCCAATAAATGTTTTGCCAGATGTTGAAGAAGTCTTTGAAGAAATTATTTACCAACAGATCATCGAATTTATTGAGGGAAATAACATTTTAACCAAATTTCTAGCTGGATTCAGGAAGAAACACTCAACTGAAACGGCAACACAAATGGTTTTAAAGGACTGGAGGAGATCTATGGACAATAGGAAACATACAGTAACAGTGTTTTTGGACTTCAAAAGAGCGTTTGAGACTACTGACAGGGTCAAATTACTTACAAAATTGCATCACTACGAATTTAAAGGATCTGTATTCAAAATTCTACAAAACTATTTAATTTACAGAGCTCAAAAAACCAAAATTGGATTACATTATCAAGCTCAAAAAGTATTTCTTTTGGTATACCACAAGGTAGTAAACTAGGTCCACTACTATTTATTTTATACATTAATGACAATTGTATTATTGTAGATTATTGTAAAATTCAGATATTTGCAGATGATAAATTAATATACATATCAGATGAAAATATAGACACTGCTTTAAAAATGCTAAATTCTGACTTGGCAGAAATCATAAATTGGTTAAATGTAAATAAACTATAATTGAATAATTATAAAACAAAATGTATGCTAATAGGAAAATACCTAAATGAGAATACTATCACAGATAGGATAAATGTTGAAATAATTGAAAATGTTGAATTAATTAAATATTTAGGTAAACAACAATTAGCAACATCCTCACATAATACTCTCCTGATGATGATGGCAAAGACCATTGAAAGCTAGAGAGAATAAAAAAAGTATAAAGAGTCCTCCTTGCTTAAATTTTGTCGAAGTACCCAACAAAAGGCGGAAGCGTTAATTTTTCACCTAACTGGTCTAGACGACAATGACCATACTCAAGTTATATATATATATATATATATATATATATATATATATATATATGTAATGGGTGATTTTTCTGCTAGTATCTTTTTGGCAACAGTGTTTTTGACAGATGACGCGTGAATCGTGTCTTGTGTCATTGTCAAACTTGTTCAGTTTGGTCTATAATTTAACCATGAATCGACTTACGAGCGAACAACGCTTGCAAATTATTGAATTTTACTATCAAAATTCATGCTCGGCTAAGAGAGGGCATCGACCACTGCTTCCAATTTATGGGCAATTTGCTCGGCCTACTGAGGGAGCTATTCGGAAGCTTGTGACTAAATTTCGAACCCAGTTTACATTATTGGACATTAAACCACCAACACGCAGACATAGAGTGAGGACTGAAGAAAATATTGCGGTTGTATCCGCCAGTGTTAGTGATGAAGAGTTACTCCACTACGTGGAAAATTTTGCGACATTATTTGGGTGTAAAACCTTATAAGATACAGCTGGTGCAAGAATTGAAGCCACACGACCTCCCACAACGTTTCCAATTTGGTAAATGGGCGCTGGCAAAGTTGGAGGAAGATCCACATTTTTATCGAGAAATTGTGTTCAGCGACGAAGATCATTTCTGGTTGAATCGGTACGTTAACAAGCAAAATTGCCACAGCTGGAGTGAAGACCAGCCAGAAGCATTGGAAGAGCTACCAATGCATCCCGAAAAAATCACTGTTTGGTGTGGATTATGGGCCAGTGGCATCATCGGGCCGTACTTCGTCAAAGACGACAATGGTCGGAACGTAACTGTGAATGGCGAGCGCTACCGTGCGATGATAACAAACTTTTTTTTGCCCAAAATGGAAGAGCTGGACTTGGCTGGCATGTGGTTTCAACAAGACGGTGCCACATGCCACTCCGCACACGAAACAATGGCCCTATTGAGAGGCGAGTTCGGTGAACAGTTTATCTCACGTTTGGGGCCCGTCAATTGGCCGCCTAGATTGTGTGATTTAACGCCGTTGGACGCGCATAGGCCATCTAAAGCGGAGCCGCGGCCAACATTTACATGAAATAATCTTTAAACATTAAATTATATCGACCGTTCTATCGACTCAAATAAAGATTTAATCGTTTTTTCAAATTTTTTGTGTTTTTCTTTTGAAAATCAAATCCTATACCTCTTAAAAAATCACCCGTTATATATATATAGTAAACTGAAGTTTGAGGATCACTATTATTTAAATAATTTCCAAAAAAACAAATTACTTTTATAGGGCTTCTCATAGTCTTGGTACATATTCCAAGAAAATAGTTTATAATACAATTATTCTACCGCATTTACTGTATTGTTCAACTATCTTGTGCACTGCCAATGAAGCTGTATTCTCAAAATTACAAGTCCTGCAAAATAAAGCTATGAGAATAATATTGAATAAAAATAAATACACCAAAATGTTACAAGAATTTCAGTGGTTGAACATAAAGAATTTCATATATTTAGTATTTTTAACTACAATCATAGCTCGTCCATTTCCTAAAAAAAAAATAAAGAAAAAATGAATAGTTACACCTACATGTCTTAAAGTTTATAAATTGAATAATAGTTCTCGCTGAATACAGCTAATCTATCTTTGACTTATCTATACTTTATCAGGATGAATGTCACAATTTTAGCAGCTATGGCATTAAAGCCTGAGCACATAAAGTACACGGGTGACTTAGGCCCGTATCGACAGTCGTCCCTACAATTGTAGGGCGCGTTTATGGCCTCCTTGATTGTCATCCTCCTTTCTCTCCTTCAAAAATTTCTAGATTACACTTGTCCCGTGTGAAGATATGTTTTCTTTTTAAATTGTAGGAAATTTCAGGCTGATAAAACATGATATAACTCAAAAGCAAGCACAATTTGATGCAAATAGATGTTTGTGACATAACCTCAAAATAGAGTTCTGACACGGTGTAGCAGAAAACTATGACAATCAAGGAGGCCATAAAGGCGCCCTACAATTGTAGGGACGACTGACGATACGGGCCTTAATCATAACATTAGAATTTGGTGTTTTTAAGTAAAAAGCGAGAGATCTTCGCGAAATGCGGGAAGGTACATGAAAATCAATTTTAGCTAATAAAGCTGAAGAATCAACATCACTGTGTACGAGTTTGTAGAGGAATTTTAAACTATTATAAATTCTTCTCAGCTCAAGAGGATGCATTTCAAATCTGAGCAACATCGCTGATTGGGCAGTCCCACGATTAAACACCAACTGATTTGAAGGTCAAGTATTCAAGAAATCTCCTCTGTTCACTTTCAATTTCATTAGTATAGATTTGGTAATACAGATGCCATACACTTGATGCATATTCCAGCTTAGAACGCACCAAGGTGCAGTATAAAGCCTTAAGTGCCGTCTCACTACCAAATGATTTACAGTTTCTTCTAAAAAGCCCCGAGACTTTTCATAGCGGATGATACTATTATATTAATATGATCTAGAAATTCTAATTTAACATCAAACAACACTCCTAGATCTCTTACTTCTGAACAACGCATCAAACTGACACATTCCAGTGTATAATCAAAAGCTATTGGATTCGTTTTCCTGGTAAAAGAACAGGTCTTGCATTTGCTAACATTCAAAAATAATTTATTAGTTGAACATCATTCAAATATATGATTCAGGAGAGCTTGCGAGACTAGACAGTCATCAATGCTGTTAATCTGAGCACATATTTTTGAATCATCGGCAAACAACAGAGAAGGACAGGTTAAGCAGTTAGG